CCCCCCCCCCATCCCCCCCTCCCCCACCTCTTCGGACTTGATGCCTCCAGATATCGTGCGAGTTGGGAGATCCCTACGAGGTGCCAGAGCAGACGCCGATCGTCTGGTACCTTGCCTTGCGGGCCGCGGACGCCTTCAAGACCAAGAACGGACGCTACCCAGGGGAAGAGGACGACCAGGTGGGATCATAGGGTGGTGATTTCGAGGGGAATTCCGGGTACGTAGTGTGGTAGCCCCCCCCCGCGCGCAGCGGTGAAGCTGAAACTTGGTTCTCATGTGCTGGGCGACTGAAACATCAGTGCAAGGGCCAAACGGAAGCAAGAACAATACATTTTTTTTTGTGGAACGTCCTTGGTTGTGAGAAGTTTGAGTCTTGAATAGGATGCCATGGCCGATGATTTGCGTGTTTGCTCTTGAAGGATTCAAGCGCCGAATTCTCGTCACCAAGAAGGGGGGGGGAGGTGCTCGTTTCTCGGTACAGTATACTCGTCCTCGCTGTGTTTGGCCGAAGCGGAGAGACCGAACTATTCACACCCGCCTGAGCGAAAACGGACGCTTGGTGGGTTCGTCTGGCTCGACAGTAGTCTATGCAGGTTTTTCAAGGTAAGCAAACATGCTGGATAAAGTATTGAATCGGCTAAATTAGGGTTAGGGTCTGCGTGCCCCCTTCCTGCTATTTTTTCGTAGTAAAGTAGCGTTCTTTGCGTAGGCAGTCCTGGCTCGAGCAGCATCGCCACTCGAAGCAGAGGGTTTTCTGCAAGAGCGGTCGGGCTGATTTTGTAAAAGAAACGTGCGATCATCGCCACAGGGTTCATTCTCCCCGACCCCCTCCGTTTTTGCCTTTGTCTCCATCGCGTTAGGCGAGATCGTGCCATCAAAGAAAAACAAGTGTTTCCTCGTGTCCTCAAGTCGTCCGCTCCCGCCACCCTTACCCACGATAGAGAGGCCAGCCGCCTCACACCGTCTTTTTTGTTTTTGTGGCAGGTGTCAGTGTGTGGGGTCCATAAAACGGATTGATGTACGTAGTCACCACCTGCGCAGCTCTTCCGCACAACAGAGTCAAGTGCGAGTGCTTATGCGGGGGCTTAACTTTTTTGTTCAGAAGGAACGGGAATGGTGCTTGGAACAGTGCTTGGAACAGTGCCCTTGTCTTTCAACGGCTCTCACCTACTGCTGTAGCAAGGCAGTACGCGGTGCTCGCTCTCAGCCTTGCGCGATGCGTGGGGATCCAACAGATTGGAAGCGGACAACATATAGGTACCCCATATATTCCTGCGATGTCTAGTCCTGTGCTAACATCAATTCACGATTCACCCGTTTCCTCTTGAGCGTTCGGCAACCCCCCCTACCCTCTCGTTGCGTGCAGGTGGACGGGGACGCAGCGGCGCTGTGGAAGATCACAAAAGAGCTCTTGGCGGGGATGGGCGTAGAGACGGAGCACTTGAGCGAGAAGCATGCCCAGGAAATGTGAGAATGAGGTTGAGATGCGTGCACACGGCTGCATGTATATGTGTGTGGTGTGGTTTAGGCTGTCGGGAGGCCTAGAGGTAGAGGAGAGAAAGAGAGAGAGATAGAGAGGGGGGGGGGGGGGG